GTAGCACAAGATAATTAGTGTGCGGACCATTTTCATTTATATAGTACTCTGTGAACACAAATTAGTTAGCATAAATCAGTTAATTGACGAAAAATTAGGTGTCTATTTACTAGTGACCACTCAGTGTATATATAAAACACAAAAATCAGTGTCTGTTTGTCCCTTATCTAATTACTTCTAGGTCACTGGACTAATCTCAACCAAACTTTGTGGGATGATAGTTTGGAACAAGGGGCATGTTAATGGGGGATTCACAACCTCGCCACCCCTATTATTGGTATTACTGAGCATTTATTATCTTTCATGTTAACATTAACTACATTCATATCTAAATTCTTACACCATAAAAAAAAACAACTACTAAATTCAATTTTCCTTCCTCCAGTGGGATAATGGTAAGTCTTCGGATTTACAATGCTAAAATGCTGGTTTCGATTCTGTTCTGTGGACACAGCAGATAGATTGATGTAGCTTTGCTACAGGAAAACACACACACACACACATTATTTTTTCTATGCACATGTGTGTGTGTGGGGGGGGGAGTACACACAAATGTCTTGTATATCTCAGAGAGTGCATTAGCACTCTGTATGGAGGAATGAAATGAAAAAAATTACCACCATTATTGCAAAATACATAAACTCGGATGAAGTTGATGCAACAACAGCTACCATAATGCTAATATGAAGAGCCATTTCTTGAGTTACACCCACTTCCTACTGTTACCCGTGACCTTACAACTTCATCCCATTAGGCACTTCTGCGGCCAATGATGATCGTCAATTAATCAATAATGTGAAACAGTGTGGATGGACATTAAGAGGTGGGTATTGAAACCAGGTAACAGAAAGCATCCTTACTGCCACTACTTTGGCTACTACCTCTTCATAGAAAGTCACCCTGATCATCACACAGTGTATATCATGATTTAAGTATATCTACAAAGTGAGTTCTTAAACCTTATATAAAACTTTTGTTGAGGTAATAATGAATACTGTAATAATATGTTATGTTGTAAATAAGTTGTGTGTAAGTTAGGACTTTTGCATTATTTATCATAGCATCCACCCCCAACGTTTTTTAAAGTTCATAACCCAGACAAAGGATGAGTACCTCAGCTTGTGTGATATAAAAGAACTTGAATAACAAGCAGATCAATGCTTACAGATGTAAAAACTGCATTGTGCTTTATGTTATATAAGGTGTTTTGGATGAATTGAAATTTTACCTTAAATTTAGGCCATTTATATAAATCTTGATAGCAATTCTAACAAGTAACATTTTCATTATTTAATCATAAAACATGTCTTTTTTTGAAAACTATGATTTAGATATTGGGTAGACTTGTCATTGTAGAAGTATGTCTCAGCAATTTTCAAGGAAGATATTCATATAACAGAATGGTTATATAATATAGAGCCCTAGAATGCAGTGCTTTAAAGATGGACTATTTTTTTTTCCTTTGAATACCCATACAGCAATGTATTTAGGACACCAAAGGACTATAAAACTGTGCACTTACTCAAACTGAAGCAATGCCATCATTTCTAAAGTGGAGGCTATGTTTATGAATGAGAATTCTTTTATCTGAAAAGCCACTCTAATAAAGCTACAAATACATCCTGGTGCCATTAAAAATATAACAAACAAGAATTTAAAGTTGACAGAAGCCCACCACCCAAAAGTTCACAAGTTTTCACCCACACCTCAAAATCAGTAGCTGTTTTTATGAGAACAATGGCTGGAAAACTGGAATCACAGCATGTTCTGCTTAAATTGGTCTTAGATCAATGTCTTCATAAAATGTGGGGTCTTTGGAAACTCTACCAAGCTTGCATCTTAAGGAGGACCACTGCTTTTCACAGAAGCTTGTTACAATTAAAATTATAGTGTGGACAGTAGTGTGTAGCTATATATACTTCAGAATGAGTATAGTTTATGATGGAGGAAGTAGTTCTACAAACAACATTTGTGCCTGGTATATTGTTCTTGTAAAGTGCAATTAGCCCCAAGTAAAAACTGTAATACCCAAATGTAATATAGTTTTTTTTTAAACATAAAATATTCTATAAATTTTCAAAACTTTCCTTTCTGTATGATTGAGATTATGCAGTTTTGTTCTAAATAGGAAATCCTTAATCTTGCTAATTCAAATGTACTTCATACCTGCTCCATGTATATTTATTTTTCTAGGATAAGCTATGCATATTTTAGTTCTGGTTAAAATATGAAAATGGTTTTCTTCATTCAGATCCAGAAGAATTCTTGAATTCTCTTCTTCAGCAGATCCTAAAAGCTGAACCATTCCTTAAGCTGAGGTGGGATCAATGTTTTAAATCTAATCATAATTATATATTAATAAAATTATGGTAAAAATGATTAATTATTGATCAATAAGGTCATACATAATCTTGTGATCATAACATACATGCATTATGTACTTGGAAATCTTGTATTAAGCCACATCTTGTTTGTTTTACTAATATAGTAACTTCTAGTCTAATGTCCTACAATTAATTAGGTTATTCCTTCCACAAAACACAAGTAAAATGTTTAAAGCAATCAAGAGAGGAATGCATGATTTGTTTTTCATTTCCTTTTGTTTGATATATTGTAATAAAGAGGATTAAGTCTACAGTTTATGTTTCTCATCTGCTGCCTTCTTTGGGACTCCACTTAAGACATTAGCAGTTTAACAAGACCCCTGTGAAGATGTAGCAGATAATCATCTGAAACTTAGAATGTTTGTAGTAACTTAGCTCATTTGTGCATATGGTGGTTGGGGGGGAGGGGGGATCGAGAATAATTTAAGCTATTAACCGTGAAAATTATTGGATTATCATTGCCACAACCTTACTGTAAGTATTTTTATTGGAAAAATGTCTATTCATACTTTATGTCGTATTGAATTTTAACCAAGTCCCATTTTATAAGAAAAGGATAAAAAATTAATGTTTAATAAAATAACCTTTTTTAAGAAATAAAAATTTTGTTAAAGTAGTATTTTAATTAACATGGTATTTAGAGAAAAAAAATCTAACATGTTTTCAAAAATACTGTTAGCATAAAAGAGCAGATGGGCAAATGTTTATTCCTATGAAAGTGATGTAATGTAACGAATTATTTTGTTTAAACTATTTGTTATCTTGTTGCTATTTAGTGTTTTTTATTTATTTCTTTATTGCTGACTTTGAAATTATTTGTTTATTAGATTTTGGTAAACATGCATATTTTTTGTTTTGTCATCAGCTCAGGCCAAGAGAGCTTCTTCTACCAATTGTTTGTTGAAAAAGATGAAAACTTAGTCCTGCCAAGTGTTCAACAGTTATTTGATCAGTCTTTTCTTACTTCTGACATCAAGCTACAAGAGGTACTGTCCTTGCTTAATTCAAACAAAATTATATAGAATTTTATGATGTACATCTAATTACTTTTAATTACTGTCATATTTCTTAAATTGACAAATGCATAGCTTACTTACAGATTAAATTTTAGGTGGCTTTTCCATAAATGTTGTTTCCACAATTCTTCTCATTTGAATATACAGTCTTCATGCTATTGTTTGTGCACTTTAACTTTACCCATCATCATCACTCACTAGGTCAACAACCACCTAAAAAGTGCATACTGTGTCAATACCCAGCTTGCCCTTAGCACTGTTATGTTCTTGTGTGGATGGCCATGGGTACATACTTTTGTAATGCATTATTTCTCTCTACTCCTAAGAATATAAAAGTAGAAGGAATAGTAATTTTTAAAACAAATACTCATGACAACATTAGAATAGTGCTAATGTTTTTTTTTTTCTAAGGGTTAAATTAGCTTGTGGGATCTGTGTTTGCTACTACTGACAGTATTTTCAGGCAGAATTGACTACAGTTGCTATTCCTTTATGTACCTGTTCATAATATACTTTGTGTATATCTGTGTTTCTGAGATGCTGTGTCAGTCATAATTAATGAAACTGTTATTTTGCTGCTGTTAGCAGTACTTTTATGATGTCAGAAAAACACATAGGTTCAATTGGTCTTGATACAAAATGATAAAAACCCTATAACCCAAATGCTTTTGAAAGGTCGACCTTTCTTCTTCAGGGGCAAACTGGAAATGGTGTAATCAAATGAGTGATATATAAAGGGAATTGAGTGATGTCATGAATATCATCTGGTCTTCCAGGAAATGTTTAGTATATTTTTCCATGTACTGTTCCAAGTGTGTTTCATTTCTGGTACAACGTGTCAGCAATGAGAGCGTTATGTAAAAAGGTGTTAGGGATATTTTGCTTTAGAAAAGAAAAAGATATAACTACACTTAAGTGTTTAAGTAAAATAAAGGTGACACCTGGAGACTGTTTGAAAAACAGATGCTAAGCTAATTGATTTACACAAACAGGTACAGAAAATTATCTTAAATAGATAGTAAGTTTTAGAAAATTAGGGTTCATGCTACATGAAAGAAATAAGCTAAGAATAAAAATTATTTTTCTGACATAGATGAAACCAATGAACGGAGATCACTGATTCCAGGATCTAGATTGATTTCACAAGGTTGAACAGTGTTTAGATTAGTAATCCAATAAGCTTCTTTTATCTCTCTATCAGCTTTAGTTTTGGATCCTGTTTTAATGCCAATTAGAATAACATTCGTTAATGGAATGAAAGGGTTGGTTAAAGCGTTGAGCAACAGGGAGATCTTTTTCGGTGTTAATAAAAGATTTATGGTTGTTGAATCGTTCTCTAAGTGTTGTTTGTGTATGTCCTACATTTTAGTGATTGCATTTTTTACACTGTATAAGGTAAATAATTTTTTGTGTTTCACAAGTGATTTCTTTGGGAATTTTAAAGTTTCTGTAGGTGTGCTTGTTAGAAAATGAGTCAAAGAATTTATCTCACATCCAAACTCCTTTCACAAAACAATTAAGTTTATCTTTGATTACTTGCCTACCCAAATTAACTTAGTTGACATCACTATCTTTATAAATTACAGAATTTTACACATCAACTTATACAAAAAACCTACAGACAGACCACAATGTACTGGCAGCAGGTAATTCAGTTGAATAAAAAGGATCTAGAACCATGATTTGCATTGGGTTGTGAAATCTTGGAAAGTCTTTTAATGTTCTGGAAAATGAACTTTACAATTTTATTACTAGATCCTGAAAAAATGGCTGCTTTCATGTCATATTGCTAGAAAAACCTTGAAATTTCAGTGTCACTAAGTGTATCCTCTGAAATATTTGGATAAAAAAAATTATACAAACAAAAACGATCTTATCATTGGAATCAGATTTGTATATATTTCATATTGGCCATTGTGATTCTCTTGCCTTTTATTATATGAGGCTTTTTGGAGTTGCAGTTCTGCTGCCACAACTCAGCAACAATTGTGGCAAAGGTTTTTTTGAAAATGTTATGTTCTGTAAGATTCAATACCATTGTCAGTATGGTTGTAGTAATTGAAAATAATGGTGGCATCATTGAACAGATGCTATAGTAGCAACCTTTGGTACCATTTCCAAAAACAGTGGAATGCTCTCTTCATTATCCCTGATGCATCTACACAAAACATTTTGCACTTGTTTCAAGATATGTTCTACAGATTGCTCCAAATATTCATACTGACTTTGTGTCTTTTACAGAAAAAGTTATTTGAATAAAAAATTGATAGGTAGATGATAATTTGGTGCACTAGTTTACTGCAATTGGATAAGACCAGAAACAGTTGCATTTTCTGCTGTTGTGCACATTTGATGAGAAAAATGCCAAAAAAATTTCAGTTTAATTCTACTTGGCAGGATTTGAGTAAGTGACTCCAAAAAAGTTTAGAATTTTTTCTTTTGTAAAGTCTGTATTGTGCAGGGCATATCATATGTCTTCTACCTGCTTTAGTGATATAGAGCTTTAAAATATTTTTTGGTTATTTAGTTTTCATACTGTAATGGCATCAACACATAGTGCAGAAAATTATTAAGATTGCCTTGTTCTGGCTGTTTTGTTTCTTTGTTTTCTGTAGTAGATAATGTCTATTCTGCCCAAGAGGCTATTGCAGTAATATATAGAACCTTGGTTGAAAAGATAATCAATTGATGGCCAAATTTATTTTGTCTAAGTACAACCAACGAATGCTGTGGGAGAACAAAGGTGTCGATTATATGAAGAAACTGAGCTTACATATTGAGTTCAGTCATGCTTTCTTGGTTCAGTTCTACTGGGTTCTTATTATGAATAGTTCAGCAGAGATTCATCTTAAGGGACAGAAAGGTAGTGAGCTATTCACATCTATTTGCAGCAATCATCCATGTTCCTACATAGATATGCATTTAAAATTTAGTCAAGCTATCAACTAAAAAAACAACCCCTCCCCATTTCTTGATCAAATCTTCTGTTATTTGAAGCTATGTCTATCTGATAATTGTTGGGAAATCAGTTGTACCTGAAATTACCACAGTATGTACCTTGTAGAACCATAAGCTAAAATGGCAAGACAAAAACAAAAAAAGTTTTTTTCTAGCTATCACTTGTTTAGAAGGTACAAACAGTTTTGTTCTTTGGGCTAAAATCCACTCTTTATGATTCTGCCCAGCTCTCTTATAGCTTTTTCACCTCAGGTACCTGATGATGACATAATTTTATTGAAATGTTGGAAATTTATAATAAATTTTTCTTCATTACCCATTCAAGCTGTCTCCAAACTTTTATTTTCTAAAAAGTGGGTTCCTTGTTCTTAAAATTTAAATTAATCTTTGCTTATAGTGTTTCGACAAGTAATCATTGATCTGTGCTGAAACAATGGCTTTAGATGTTAGATTTTGTCTAGTCCCAAATTGATGTATATCATTACTTTGTCTCAAGGCCTACAATACAATAATTACTGGCTGGCTTCAGTTCCCAAATTTTTGTTGTTCCTGTGAAGATGGGAAGGCTGTTGATAGCATTGTTTTGCAACAGTATGTATAGTCATGTATGAGTTCAAGTTAGAATTCATCAAAAGCCTTGGTCAGCTGGTGAAGGTAGGATATTGCATGGCCGTCCTAAACATTTAGGATGCTTATAATTACTTTCATATTCAGTCAGTTTTTAAAAAGTTTTACTGGTTTTATGGAATGTTAATATTTTGAACAGGTCAATATTTACTGACATTTGGTGATTTGATAAAAGAATATCTGTTTGAAAATTATTTTACATACAAAATGTAGTATTTAGGCTTTTCTTTGTTTCACCTTCACATAACTATATTTTTTTTTCTCATATTTATTATAATATTTCAAACTGTTGCAGGGAAATTCTCTTTTAACAAGTGAAATGGTGAAAGTTCAGCATTTCAGTGATGTGTCTATTGAGAGAGTATAAATAAACAACTTTGTATTGGAAGAAAGTTCAAATCAATGATATCTAATTATCATTTTTAGTGCTAGATGTTAGGTAAACAACTTTAGGGTAATTTTTCAAAAATACTAACTTGAAATATTTCTGCCCCAGTATTATGAATACATTTTACATTTTCTGTAGTTGTATATTTTTTACTTCATTTCAGGAGCATAGCATCAGTAGTATACACCGTAGTGCAAGTGTATATCAAATTTAATAATACGTGCTGTACCCCACTTCCAATCTTTTTCGGTCTATTCTCAGAATTGTACCAATGCTTGAATGCTTTGTTAGCATATTTCCTCTCCTCCAGTTGACTTGTTGCAGTTATGAAAGTTTATTTTACTAATAATCATGCATGTGTTTTCTGGAATCATCATTGGTTGGGGAAGCCTTCTTATCACTACTAAACCATTTTTTCCTGAAGTAGTAGCTCTACAAAAATAACAGATATTTGCTAACCTTTCAAGGAATTCAGATGGCTTGTTAGTGCACCAGTTGCAGCTAATGTGTTAAACACTAGCAAGTTATTGCTAACAAATATTGAAGAAAGTTCTGTTAACAAGAAATGTAAGGAGAAATGTGAACTATAATTATCTTAAACCAAGCCAGATGAAATGTTTGAAAAGTGCTAAAATGTCAGACGTGTCGTACAAAACACCTAATTGGTCATGTGATTTGTAAGTCTCTTGTCTCCTCAATTGAATCTAATAGTAAAAATATGGACCTTTTTGTTGGGCTTTACCTCTTCTCTCTTTGGCTTGCCAATCAGAACAACAGGGAATCAATTCATGATTTGGTAAGCAGCTGGTACAAGCCAAAAGGAAGAGAGAAATTGAGTTTTTAAATTCTTTTAATCTGTTGTCACATTGGAGTTTTATAGTGTAAAATGTTTTGAAATTCTATATTCATGTTAACAGGTTTGAATACCTTTTATTTACCAGAATCAATCAGTAATTCAAATTTATGAGTTATAGAACTGGAATGAGGGTAAATTAATTTTTGACAGTTTTCAGAAAGGATAAATGTAAAGTATATATATATATTTTAAAGAAGGTTTGCTCTTTTATATGAAAGGTTTCTCTATTTTGCTTTAACAATCCTTCAATAATGTAGTACCACATTGAGATGAAAATAATAGTTTTGTTTGATAATACTTTAAGTCAAGGAGATCCTCAAATTTCACTTGTTAGAGCATCTGAAAACCCTCTAGTGTCAAAGAAGCAGTTCCTTACTCCCATCACAAACACTCACACACACTTTTTTCCCTTATGGTTGCAACTAACTTTCTGGTGCACCACCAACAAGGATTTATTTTATACCACTGCCTCCCTACAAACAAGAAGCAGGGAGATGTTTTCTGTGACATTCATATATATATATATATATATACATATATATATATATATATATACATATATATATATATATATACATATATATATATATATATGCAAACATAATTTATTTTTCTTACATGATATTTGTTCATTTCTTTCACTCCTAAAGTAATGAAATTTACAACAAAAAATATTTTTTTCTAAGAAATTAAATATCTTGTTTATTTCCATTTTCTTGCAATCGTTTCTATCATTGTAATTTATTGTTAATCTCAAATTGGACTTTGTTTTGCATGATATAAATGCTTTAATAAAGCATTTCTGATTAATTTAGATTTTTTTTTCTTGCCTAGGTTCCTCCATGTCTATTAATCCAAATGCCAAGATTTGGAAAACAGTTCAAGATGTATCCAAGAATAATCCCAAGTCAGTATCTGGATATTACAGACATTTTGGCTGATTGTAAGTATATGATTTTATGTATCATTGTAAATATATTTATCATGGTGTTACATTGATATGTTTTCAAACCTGTCCATTACTGTTAATAATACAAACACAAAAACTGAAATTCTTCTTGTTATAATAACGTTGGTGAAGGTTTTAAAATTCCTCAGAAAGAAAACTGAAGAAAGCAATTACATGCTTACACTTAACTTGACAAGAACTTTTTGAAAATCATAGAAATAATGTTTTATCAAAAATTATAACTTACGGTTAATTTCAGTATGTTTTTGTCAATATATACAGGAATTTCTCCATTGACTAACATTTAAGTGTAAAGAAAAAGTGTTTGATGTATCTGTTTGTTTCTTACAATTGCTGTAGCACCCAGAGAATGCAGCATTTGTGGTCATCTGGCAGAATTTGAGTGTAAAGATTGCTTTGGTCAGTTTGGAGAAGGTCTTTACAGTGTGGCCTTCTGCCAGAAATGTATAGAAAAGGTGACTTTATAATATTTTCATCTATATTTATGATTTTAAAACTATGAATTTGTGTTTACTTTATTTTGCACAAAACTACACTGTTAAAATAATTTAGGAAGGTTTAGTGAAATGAACTATGCAAGATTTTATTTCATCATTTTAGTACTTTGTAAGAGAGAATATTTTGTGATTTCCAAGTAAGGAAACTTTTAAAATTTTTATGATTTATCTTAATAGAGTAATTCTTAGTAAAATCTTTAATTTGCTAATAATCATGATTCATGTCCCAAGAGTAATTTCAGTAATAGATTGAAAAAAAAGTATTTAATTTAGATTATAATGTTTAGGTACTTACCAAGCTTAATTTAAAAGTTCTTTTTAATTCTCTCACAATGGGTAGTTCAAAGTGTGCATGTTACAACCTTTTATAGAGTTAACTTCAAAATTGAAGTCAAATCTCATGCATCCTGACCAATTCTCTTACGTACAAAACTGAGGAATTTGGGTTAATTAGAACCCTGTTACATGGTCAAATAATGTACAAGTCATGAAAAAAATTTAAACAGGAATGCCATAAATAATGTAATTAATCCCACTAATTACTGATGGGGGTTTCATAGATATATATTTTACAATTACTCAATACAGTGAAATATGTGTGCTTCTCCAGTAATGAATGGTGTGTAAACAAGTTGGTAATTTGAGGGTTAAGCTTTGTATTTTAATATTTTATTGATTTTCACCACAATTTTTACAAGTTATGAGTGTAGCATATTTTTATTATAATAATAGTCTTTGAAAAATATGTAAGATTTAAAAAATTGATTTATTATATGTACAGGGTGTCCCAGAAGTCTGGACCCATAGGGAAAAAACACAGAATATATTCTTAATTTATTTATTATTGAAATTGCATGCTACTAACAACCATACACATATTAATTCTTGGTATACTGTGCCATCGGGGTATTTTCTTTCCTGAAATATTTACAACTGACTTTACAAGTGTATTTGTTTAACTTTAAGAATATAATGTTTATTTTCCCTATGGCTTTAGACTTCTGGGACACCTTGTATATTAAAACTCAAACTGTCCACATTAATTTGAGAAACTATTTCATTTATAATTTTAAGGTCTGGCATGGTTTGGGTACTTTACTTGCAATCTGCAGGTCACAGGGTCGAAAACCAGTACCAAACATACTTCAGCTGTAGGAGTATTATAATGTCTTGGTCAATCTCATTATTCATGGTAAAAGAGTAGTCCAAGAGTTGGTGGTGGGTGCTGCTGACTGGTTGCCTTCCATCTGATCAGTAGTTCAAATGTAGAGATGGTGACACATAGCTTTAATATCTTTGACATGAACAAAAAAACATATCTTTATCAGAGAAACGGTAATGTCACTCTCGTGATATTTCATTACAAAAATAAGACTAATGGATGAAATTGTATAAAATTTGACAAGAAGTTTTTTTACAAATTTCTAGTTTAAGAAAAATATTTGATTTTTTTTTTTTACTATTTCTAATTTAAAAAAATTGTTATTTAATATAGTTATTTGCACTTGGGCTCTGAATAATTCACCTGCAACTATTTATTATCTTACAGTTTTCACATTTTATTTGCATAATCTCTAGAACCTCTTAAATGAATATCAAAAGTTTTTTAAGGTGACTGTTTATATTTTATTTTCCATTTTCTCTAGTATATTACTAACTCTACCTATCATCATCAGCATACACTGCAATGAAATGTTTGAAATAAAAAAATAGGAGTATATACATACCTTTTAGCTCTTCATAGAAGTCCTTTGAAACATAGTATTTTAATATGCATAATTTCATGTCTTTAGCTTTTCACTTATAGTTTATTTTTAATTTTCTTTTCCAATTCTTTGTCTTTTATCATTTATGATGGATACATAAACTGGTCCCCTGGGGGCTTTATTATTATTATACGGCAACAATTGCGCTAACAGGTTGCACACGCAAATTACACCATCTTGATTATTCACTTTTACAATCCTGGTAACAAGAAGTTAAACTTACAAAAGTCATTAAACCTTTCAAATATGATTTTTAAAACACGAATAATACACAGTTAACTAATAGTAAGACCTAAATACAATTTAACTGTCTCTCTAATTGTAGCATATTTCTGTAAGAAACCACCATAAATGCTATAGTCAATCAAGCAGACAAAAATACTAACAGTAGTTATATGTATACTGTGAAGAAAACTGTGCACCAATTTCAAATTAACCACTGGTGCTGTATAATGTTAACTGATCTCTGTCTAACGAGTATATACACTTGTTTCTACTAACTACATGTACATTGTAGATCTCAAGGCAGAGTATAGAAGGTGGGTGTTGCACCTATTAAGGGTTGGAAAATTTAAATCTGATTCCCAGACAAAGCAGCTTGTAGACATGTACCACATGGCAAGTAGGTCAAACACGTTTAGTTTACGTATACATGTACACTACCAGCTTATGAGGCTAACACTGAACCTCTGCTGAAGTCGGGATTTTCAATAGTTAAATTTAAATACTAAATTCTCTTCTATTACATGGTAGATTTGTTAGTTGTTAAGAGTACAGTGATAATGCTCTTCTTGTGATAAAGTGTTTTACAAGTTAGAAAAATTGAGATTGCTTGTTCTGCAGTTGGCAACACATTTTAATATGTTGTAGAATTTTTTTTTTTACTTTATTTTTGTGTAATATTACCTACTAAGATAATGTGCATGAAATATTATAAATACAGTAATATTAGAATTAGAACCCTTTAACAGTTTAGTATACTCTAGTGAAAGTCCATTAAAAACATGTAAATATACACAATGGAAAACCAATTTTGACAGCCGGAAAGACTTTCTGAAATAAGATGAGACAACACTGAAGTAGATGTTCACTCATCATTTTATTTAAATAGGTTTGTTTGTTTGAATTTCACACAAAGATACCTGGGAGCTATTTGCATTAATTGTGAAGTGATAAACTAAATGAAAGACAACTAATTCTTGGGTTACTCTTATCAGCCTGAATAGTAGGATTTTATTGTTTTAAAGTTTGGAGCATGATTTATTTTCATTTTTCACAGTAACTTCAACCATGAAACATAAATCTACAGTCCAGTATGCTAACCACTGTACCATGCCTGGCCTCCTTAAGTAGGAAGAATTTCTTAAACTTTGTATGATTTTTAAAAATCTTTCTTGTAAAGCAAAATAATACATTAGGTATATAATAGAAATCACTCTACATGAACTAAATGTAGAAAAGAAGTTCTGCAGAGAAAGTAGAAAGCAGAATAAACTGAAAAAAAATACATATTTTTAAAAAGCAACAAAACCAGTGTTGTGTCTTAAACAGATATTCATGTGAAAAAGCTGAATAATAGTAAACAGAATGGGATTAAGTCATTGGATAAGGTTGCTGAATTATGGCCTTTGCTTACATTTTTTGTTGGCATTATTAAGTTTCTCTAGTGAAGCTAATTCACAACAATCCTCCAATTGAAATAATTGGACAGTAAATTAATATCCTTATGTTTTGCTCTTTATTAAAAAGTGCTTGTACTAGTTAAAAATAGGGAACAAAATCATAACCTTGTAGAAGAACTAAAGCATAAGTCATGTCTTCAGTAAATGTAAATCAGTCAGTATTATATTTACCCATTCTTATTATGACATTTCACAACCTATGATTTCATTGTAGATAGTTAATATTATTTTTGCATTTGTAGGATTTTATATATTTTACAGAAAATTTTTGTTTTATTAATAATTTCTCAAAATAATTGCCTTAAAAGTTAATATATACGACATATCGTTGTCAGGTTTCATCATTTGATATGAGGTTTGAAGATCGCTGTGTAAGCTAAACTGAGAACATTGTTTTGGGGCCTCAGTTTATAAATCTCCCTTAATATGGAGGCTTTATTATTAATTGACCTCAGCCAAGATCTTAAACAAAATAGAATGGGAAGGTAGGTCACATTCACCTAGGACGTGTATAATTATGATACGCTTAACCCTATCATTATAAGTAGCTAAGAGGTTAGACATGTCATAATGTTTGTAAACTTACATTCAAAATTTTATTGAACTACTATTTTATGAATGTAGTCAATAAACTTGGTATCAAATTGTAGATTTTAATTCAGATTTTAGTATTATACATTAATTAATTATTTAATTTGAAAGTAAATATAGAAACAAATTGCAAAATTTCTATTTTTTTTTTTTTTTTTGTGTGTCACACTGGTACATCATCTTCTAGGTTTGTCAGATAACATTTTATGACACCTGTAATACATTGTCTATAATTTCATATGAATTATAAACTCAAATTTTCAATATTGCAAGCTAGAATATAAAATAAGAACCTCCTACCTTTTCTATTTGCTGAGATATCACAATATTTATTGAGCCTATCATATTGGCTCCACCTACCAATTCATCATTTGAGAAGACTTGTTTATCTATGCTTGCTTTTGTATACCTATAACTTTATAACCAGTCAAAGGCTATACATTTCTTCTACATTGGCATTTCCCAAATTTTTTTGGCCATGGAACACTTTTCCTCTGAGAAAAAGCTTACGGAACACTATACACGTGAAATATCACTGTAGATGGTATGTTGCAAATGCAATGCCATCTAGATTTGTATATTATTCATTTATTTATTTAATCAAATTACATATTAATGAATTTTTATGCATATAATATATTTTAGGTACAAACCTCTCCACTAAGATATTATGTAGAAAAGATATGGCATATTCTATAATTCTTCTTCAATGCAAAATCAATATTATCTAATTCTAATACATAGGAAAATATTTCATAATAAGTTATGATCATACAAATGTTTTATTAAAATTTAAAATCATCATTTTCTCATGGAGCCTATCAATCTTGGACAGAATACTAGTGTTCCACGGAACATAGTTTTTGAAATGCTGTTTTACATAATTCTGTCACTTTTCCTTTGTTATTTACAAGAGAAAAGCTGTTATATTATTGGAAAGTTTGAAGTATTACGATCAAGACTAACTATTCGCTGGTGAATAATTTGTTTCTAAAGTCCTAATGAAGAAGGCTAAGTCAAGAATACTAGTCCAATCAAAATGAGCCGTATTCATATTACTGAAAACTACACATTTATTGGTTACTGTGTAAGCATGGTATTATATGAAACAAGATGTTCATAAGCACTTACACACATTTACACTTATACAACACTAAATCCTGACCACCCAGGAGGATAGCTAGTAACAATTTTTTTTTATACTTACTTTCAGATTAAAAATTAACTAATGTATAATACTAAAAGTTGTATTAAAATCTACAATTTGATACCAAGTTTATTGACATACGTTCATAAAATAGTAGTTCAATAAAATTTTGAATATAAGTCTACAAACATGATGACATGCCCTATGACCACTAGCTACCCGTATTGATAGGTTTAAGCTGTTCATTATTAATACTTATAAGAGTATCCAGAAATGGAAGTTTATGACCCTCCTGATTTTTCAACAGTATTGTAAACATCTGGAGACTTGTTCAGAATATTTAAAGATAGTAAAAGTGGCATCAACATACCTGCAATATTAGAAAGGTTCAGATTCTAATGGGCAGTTATCCGGGCATAGCTTTTCATGGAAGCATAAAAACAGGTTGGCAGAGATGGAGCCGGTCTTGAACCCATAGCAACACCATCAATGTGATCATATAACTTCCCATTGAAGATGAAATGAGATTCCTTGACAGCAAAACTGATTAACTTAAAAAAAAATATATTGGAATTACTGTTGTAAACCAAACCAACACACAGCTGTATCTTCTCTTCCAATGGTATATTGATATAAAGTCAAAACTAGCACATTAACATTACTATCAAACTATAGGTCGTAAGGGGCATGCTGCTTTATGAACTTTTGATAATCCATTGAATATTCCTGGATGATTTCCTCATGGTCTAATGTTCCAATACTGTCCTTCATTAAGGGAAGTTAAATTACAACTATATTTGTTATAATTGAAGAAAGATAACATTCTTAATGAAGGACTGTACTGGAACATTAGACCATCAGGAAGTCATCTAGGAATCTTCTATGGGTTACCAAAAGTTCATATAAAATTATGCCCCTTACAACCTATAGTATCTAACATTGGAACATATAATCGTGCTTTGGCTGAATTTTTGGTATACTTTTTAAAGAAATTTACTACAAATTAATACACCTTAAAAGACAGTTTTAAGTTTGATCATGAAATTCAACATCTGAACTTTAATAGTAATGTTCAGTGTGCTAGTTTTGACATTGAATCACTATACATCAATATATCATTGAAAGAGACAATACAGCTGAATATTGATTCTCTGTACATCAGTTATTCCAATGAATTCAGTATTTCTAACAGATGTTTTTTTTTTCAAGTTAATCAATTTTACTGTCAAGGAATCTCATTTCATCTTCAATGAGAAGTTATATGATCAGATTGATGGTGTTGCTATGGGTTCAAGATTGATTCCATTTCTTACCAACCTGTTTTTATGCTTCCATGAAGAGCTGTGGCAATGACTGGATAATTGCCTATTAGAATTTACACCTTTCTGTTACCACAGGTATGTTGATGAAACTTTTGCTATCTTTAAAAATTCTGCTCAAGTCTCCAGATTTTTACAATACTGTATGAATACTATTTTACAATATTATTAAGTTTACTGTTGAAAATCAGGAGGATCATAAACTTACATTTCTGGACACTTATAAATTATACTAATGGATACTTTAAACAACCTTAACTGGATTATGTTTTAATTTTAAGAGTTGTCAAGAAGAATCTAGTTAAAACACTTTCATCATGCTTATATCTAGCACATATGACATTTTACATAATCAATTTTTTGAACATCAAAGAATTTTTTTGTAAAAATTATTTTCCAAATTATTTTGTTGATAGAATGCCGTGTTGGTATTTAAATAAGCAAAGAGTAGATACATTTTGTGTTTATAATGTATTTAAAACTATTGTGGTTATTAGTTCACCTTATATGAGTAAATATTCTTTGACTATTAAAAGTCTGCTGTTGTGTATAAATTTACTTGTCCATTCTTTCGGCAGGATCATGTTGGTTCTCTTAAAATAAAGTTAACATTTTATATAAAAGAACATGCTAATACTAGACCTTTAGTTAAGTGTATCATACTTATGTATTCCTTAAGTGAATATGACATATTCATCCACTCTAACTTCTTTAAGATCTTGGCTAAGGCCAGTTGTGAACAAAGCCTCTGTATTAAGGAAACTCTGCTGATTTATAAACTAAAGCCGGAGATCAATGTCCTCAGTTCAGCTTACAACTTGTTGTTAAAGCTTAAGGGTGTAATGTCTGAATAATAGATTATTAGTAAAGTTATGTGATATTTTAAAAGTTCTTGCACATACTCAAGAGAACAGTATGGTTCATTATATTAACATATATAAAGATGGGGAAAAATTATTGTATTAAAGATATGTTTAACAATATCTGTCACTCAAAATAAGCACTTCCTATGTCTTGCATGTATACACTCAAAACCAACAGTCTTATTAGAGTTGCCATGCCTTTGCTTACATTCTTTATGCATATTAAAGAATACATCCTGCACAAAATGTATTTTGAATGAGTCTTGCCTATAAGTCGATCAGTATAAAACCAACAAGCTTCTCATAGATGCTACACCTTTTCATCTATAATATGCATGAATGGGTATAAAAGAATAACTCTTACACAGAAATTTATTTTGAATTAATATTTTTATCATAAGACATTATAACCACATCTAAACAGCTAAATGAAGTGCTGCACTCTTCATCATTTTCAGTGCAAAACAAGAACTTAACTTGTGTTTTTTATGGCCCTGTCTTTCTGAAAAATAGAAGTCATCCACCAAACTATACAGTTATAAGCACTGTGCATGTAACTTTCATTTTTGTGCTTGGTGATCTTGGAAATGGATTATGTTCTTTAAATTAGAAACAAACATGGTATTTATGTGACTATTTAAATATTAAGTACTAATTCAGAAGTAAAAAAGATGTTACTATAGTATGCTGCATTAGTAAATTCTTACTTATTCTAATTTATGTGAACAGTTACAAAGCCACTTATTGGCAGGTTATAAATATCTGTTTGTGACGACTAGCTGTAGAATGTAAGATTATACGTTTAGCATTATATCACATGAACTGATTTAATGCAATTCAATATTTTTTCTTTAGTGTCATGGCAATAAAAAGCGTTCTCGTCATAAAACCACTAAGCTCAACATTCCCCCAGAATATAATATGTTAAAAGACCATAACCACGTCCCTCGAATCTACATGGAATTGTTTGCTGTAGTTTGTATTGAGATGAGCCATTATGTCTGCTTTGCTAAGTGTGGCAGTGGACCTGATGCCCCATGGTGCTTTTTTGACAGCATGGCTGATCGTAAAGGTCTGTTTATGCTTATGTTTTGTATTTTCCATAACATGCTTATCTACTTTTGTGTTTGATAAAGAGGTACTAAAGAGTTTGAGGTATTTTACAGTTTTATAATGATACATAATATACTTCTTCACACTATATTTTTACACCATATTACTGGTATATAAGGGTTATTTTGCATCTCTGACTTACTAAAGTTTGGGATGAAAATAAAATTATCTGTGAATCATCCAAAATTGTTAATGAATTTCTAAAAGTAATTTCCTAAGATGTTATGAAATAATTGAGGATATTAAAATAGACTTATTGCTTTTTTAGTGCTAGTCTTCCCATTCATGTATCATTGTTGACTGATATTCTTCAAACCAGATTTTATTTCTCTGTACATTATAGAATGTACAAAGCCATATTATTTAGTTGATAAACTGTACCAGTCATATTTTTTACAAGTTATTATATGTTTCAGGAGACTGTTCAATCAGCTCATTTCTTCATTTCAAAATCTCTTTGGTTAGTGGCTTCACAGTTATACCACCATTTTTTTTTCTACCCATTCCTGTGTTTGCATCAAATGTTGTATAAGAAGTGTGAGGTGAGATGCTTAGGTCAATTAAACAGATTTTTACTTCACTGCAGTGACTCTTTTAGTCCCATTTGTTTTCCTTTATTTTTGGTTTTGCCAAATAAAAACACAAACATGATGAATGTATTCAAAAGCCAGAGAATATTATGAGTAATTATATTAAGGAGTTATATTTGCACAGTTTTTTCTTCAAGTGTTTATTTTTATAATCTTATGGAAAGGTTATTCTGGGTATGATGCGTCACTATGTTTTTCCTTGGTTTGTAAAATATCATAGATTATGCTTGTCAAAATACTTCATTAGGTTGCCATTTCTTGCTGCAAGTTGCAGTGTTCAACCAACTTGAACCCTTCTCCTTTACCATTGTCCCAGAGACTACAGCAGTTAGAAAGTACTTGTCTCACTGTTACCCTCACAATTGACTGTCCTACTGCTGGATGCAGTTTATTGAAAGAGGTCCCTGATAGAAATGGAGAGGACACATCTCCCAGTAAAGAAAGTCACGTGTGACAATTAACTCTTGACTGTTGGCATGCTACTGTTTGCACCCAGAAGAGAGAAGTCAAAGTGGTAATATGGAGTGTGAGGACTCTACACCAAATTGGAAAACTGTTTAATGTCAAGCATGAGATGAAGAGATTAAAGATCAATATTCTAGTCCTATGTGAAACACATTGGAAAGATGCTGGTACTGTTGTTTCAGAAGATATGAAGATCATTTTCTCAGGAGGTCAGATACACAAAAGAGGAGTTGGATTGATTTTTAGCAAAGAATGTTCAAATCATTTGTATGTATTTTGAGCAATATGTGATTGAGTGATGCTTGTGAAAATATAGTTTAAACCTTTCAACATTGTAATAATACAAGTCTATGCACCGACAGATGAAAATGAAGAAAAGGACAATGATGGTTTCTGTGAAGACCTTGATAAAGCAAAAAAGCAATGCAAACCTCAAGAAGTGGTCATAGTGATGGGAGATATAAATGCAAAAGCTGGTTATGAACAAGTGGATAATAGTGCTTTGACTTGGAGAGAAAAATGAAAGAGGAGAGAAATAGATTGAGTGGTGTTTGAACACCACCTAAGAAGAGGGTATACATGGAAAAGTCCTGGGCTGACTGCAGGAGCAACCATGTCCCTCTCGTATGTACCATCATAATAAGATTGAGGAAACATAAGAAGTGACAAATAAGCTCAATTATACAATTCTAATGGAAAAGATCTGAGTAAAAGTATAAAGTTGCATTTAAAAACCGCTTTAAAGAACTTCAAGAAAATATGTCAAAATGGGAAATTTTTAAAGAAGCACTAGGTGAAACAGCCAAGGAGATTATTCCATTAAAATTAAGGCAAAAGAAACAGAAATGGATGGTGGAGGAATTCCTTAAGCTCATAAAAAATATAAGGAAGATGAAAACATTTAGTACAGAAGAATAAAAGAAACTTGAAGAAAGAATTCAATCAATGTGCAATGAAGAAATAGAAAACAAAAGGATATCGATGTTACATCAATGTATAGGAATATCAAAGATGTCGCAAGTAAAGGAGTATGCACTGCTAGTGGATGTATTTATGGAATGAAAACAAGTACTTAAAGATGGACAGAGTATATTGAAGATTTATTCCACTACAGTCATGAAGAAAACCCATCTATTAAGAATAACACAGACGGATTGAAAATTCTTAAGTCAGAAGTATGAATAGTTATCAACAGAATGAAAACCAATAAAGCTACAGGACCAGATAAAATCGCAGTAGAACAAATAAAATGTTTGGAAGAATTTGGTAAAAAAAGTTAACTATTATCAATGAGATTTATGAAAGTGATGAAATACCTGACGATCTCAGTAAATCGATCTTTATTGCACTGCCCAAAAGACCGAGAGCCATTGAATGTGAACACTATTGAACCATCAATTCCAATACAGTTCTCACAGACATAGCTATTCTCACTCAGTGCTGCCCTCTATATGCAAACATTTTTTTGCATGCAAAAAGCCTTGAGTTCCCACTTACCCCACGATCAGTGTGGTTCAATGGCATCTCGTATGTAAATCATCATGCAACAACCCTCCACCAATAGGAATGTGACTCATCTCCTGACGCTTTATTGGACATGATTTCTCAGGTGTGTTCTGTTTTATCAGTTTCCCTGATTTCTTACAACCCTTTTCCTTCATCTCAGTATTTTATGTTTCTCCCTCCCCCAGATATTAGGGTTCATGCAGATTGTTTTGTATCTAAGATACATGAGGGAACTAGCTTACCTTGCCCTCCACTGGCTTTAGATAAGTTTGCTTAAGCCTACCATCAGCCTAAATGTCCATTTCTTGATTCTCAACAGTAGGAATCACGTTTTCCTGTGATCATCCTGTTCGTTTATCCTACACCCAGTTTCCCCTATTCTTACCCTATTGACTCTCCTATGGTACTTGTCCACCATCCACTTCCCTTCTGAGGCATTCCACCGAGATCCTAAGGGTTTTTCATTTTGGCACTTTTGTCTTCTTCGGCCCATTCCTTACACATGTGGTTTCTCTGGTGTTGGGATCTTCTGTGGAGAGAAGCTGTATTGTCTCAAGTTCCTTTACCACCTACTTACCTTCAGGACTTATGTGTGGCCCCTTTTCTCCAATGGCCTGTTTTCAGAGATATTCCTGAGACTTTAGAATCCTGTGTGGAATCTGTGAGACAGCAACTGAACCTTTCATCTATGGTTGATCATTTATCTTATTCTGAGCCTAGGCAATTCCATATTACTGTTTTCCATTCCACTTCTCCACCTTTACCAGTTCTACCTTTAAGGGTTCCTCCACTCATTGTATTATTCAATGAAGCTGGACATGTTGCCAACAGTACCAGTGACTACTCTATAGGTTCTGGTCCAGTGAGGGCTTGCTTTACCAATTTTGTTCCCATATGGCACAATTTTGGCACAGATCTTTAGATTATTTGGGTATTATCCAAGGGACTTCTCATCCACTTTCTTTCCCCCTTCTCCGTTATCTTGGGTACACATATCCTTTCTGTTGCCTCGGGATCCTACCACCAGTCAATGAGGTGGTACAGAATCTCCTCTTCCAGAAAGCCATTGAACCTATACCTCATCCTTCTTCAGGATTTTATTCTAGGCTGTTTGTGGTACCCAAGAAAACCTGTGATTGATCTGTCCTGCCTCAATCAATTTTTGGTTCTGCCTTGCTTTACTATGCAGCCCTTTCTCACCCTTGGATGGGCTTTCTCCAGGTCTAATGGATGACCATGGTGGACATCTCGAATGCTTATCTGCATATTTCTATATCTTGTCAGTTGAAGTGCTATCTTTGGTTTGTTCATCGTGGGTAGTGTATCAATTTCATACGCTATCCTTTGGGCTTGCATTGGCTCAGTGTGTTTTTTGTTGAGTGGTCATGGCTTTTGCCTGACATATGCTTGTTGGGGGTTGCGCATACACCATTACATGGATGACTGGCTTCTGTTAGCTCTTTCTGAATGGGAGTATGCCCATCACACTCATCTGCTTATTTTGGAGGCAGCTCCTTAATCAAGTTGAAAAAGTCATTGCTTATACCTACCCAATATTTTATCCACTTAGTTGTCTTTTTCAACACTCATCTCAGTCAGGCCCAACCTTCTTGTTGACTCCATTTGATGGAGCTTTCAGTTCTCCACACCCTTACTACTTCCTCCATTACTGCTTGCAAGGTGATATTGCTCTTTGGAATATGGTTTTCTATGGAAACCCTTAGTACCATGTGGTTGAGCACGTATGAGGTCTCTTCAGTGGACTCTGTACAGGATTCCTTGGATGCTCCTATTTCCCTTCCTCCATCCTTGTCAACGATCTGTATTAGTGGTTGGACAAGGCCCACACATTGGCCAGTGTTCTGCTTCCTCCCCCTCGTCTGGATTTGCATATCTTTACACACACACTTCCCTCCATGGCTGGGAGGCATGGTTCAATCAGCAGGAAGCTTCAGGTCATTGGTCTCTGGCTGAGAAGTCTTTGCCATATCAACATTCTGGTGCTTCTGGTTGTACATCATGATTTGATTCATTTTCTTCATCTTGCCAGTAATCATCTGGTCACAATCCATTCTGACAATTCTATGATGGTAGCTTATATCAATCACCAAGGTGGCAACCATTCTCATTCCCTATGTGGTCAAACCTTGGTATTCTTCTCCTTTCATGTCATGTTTCGGGTGCATTCAACCTTGTTGCAGATCTTTCCTGACTGGACAAAATTTATTCAACAGAGTGATCTTTTAATCCTCATGTTTTCCAGTGGCTATTTCTTTGGTGGGGTAATTCTCACCTTGATGTATTTGCCGCATCCCTTGTGAGATCTGTGGAAGACCATGGTCACCAACATCCTGTTTGGATATGGAACATAGAGAGAGATTTTAAAAAATATAGTTCTTTTCTATACTCAATTACATAAAAATATAGATACAATATTTTGTTTTTATATCAGTCAGCTACAATTTTGTGCTGTAGATTAAGCATGCCTTTTACTTTATAAATCATCTTCTGTGTAGATAATCACATGGTTACAACATTTCCTTTTATTCTATGGTTTTCAACATGCCTTAATTATAAGTATTTTTATGTAACATTTTTCTGGGCCATGTAGTTCTTTTTTATTGATCTTTCTTTGGAACCAAATCCGCATTCAGGATGGACATTATGGTGTACGTGCTTCAGAATTTTCATTTTGTGCTAGCACATTGATTCACTTTATATTCCACTCATATATTGATTTACTCTGCTGAAACCAGGATTTTATTATTACACTAGATGGTTCAATCTACATATACATATGCTATAAAGTTCTGAAATTATAAATTTCAGTGGTTGTACTACTTTTTTTTTCTTACTGTGATGTTGGGAAAAAGATTGCCAGTTTATCTTAGTTTAACATGTTCTTAACCTAGATTATCAGTTGTCCATAAATTTAAAATTTGTTTTTATTTCATGCCATAATCTTATATGTGATTAAAATGTACTTTAGTACAGGTTATCATTATACTACTGCTACAGATGATGATGCTTTTATTTACTGTGTGATTGCTAGAAAGATTCATGTTTTCACTCACTAACTACTGCTGCCTGTAATGATCACATTTTTTATTCATTGTATTACTGCTTGGAGAGTTTATACCTTTTGCTTACTATACCTGCTTGTAAGGATTGTTGCTTATTTTTACTCACTTGTTACTGCTTGAAATGATCTCATTGTCTTCAACATACCACTGTTTGGGAGGATTGTATGCTTTTACTCCCCAGTAGTATGTTTGAAAAAACACGTTTTCATTCACTGTGCCACTAGTTGGAAGGATGGTCCTATTTTTTTTACTGTTTATCACTTCTTTAAATGATAACATGTTTTCATTCTATATATCACTAATAGAAGTAATACACCATTTAAACCAGATATTTTAGATATTTTGTTATATGTTTTGGCCATACTTTTTGGGCCGTCATCACCAATGTCTGGAAGGATCACTTATTTTCACTCACTGTATCATTGGTTGGAAATTTCACATGCTTTTACTTATCTCAGTAATTCTTGGAATGATAATCATACATCTTATACTTTTCTTTTTCTACCACTTATAGGAATGATCACCAGTTTTCATTCCCAATACCAATGCTTAAAATAATCTGTTGTAATGTGTTAACCAAACATTGTATTGGCTGACTGTTTTTACTTACTGTATGGTCTGGAGTTTTAGGCTTTCAGTCATCTTTTCTTTTCGTCTTGGTGATGATATTGTTTATCAGTTCAAAAATGCACTGTTACACATGTAATATGTTGCTGTAAAAATTACTTTTAAGTTGTCAAGACAATGAAAGTTGCTCATTTGAAATTTATCATATCAGAAATGTAATTCTATTCGTAACAGCAGGGGCCAAAATAACCGGGTTCACATCGAAATTTGCAAATAAAAAAACACTTTCTTTCCTCTTTGCTTATCATAACATGCAATCATTCCTTTCTCTTGTATGTTATCTTCAAGACCTCCAACAACACACGGTGAAAATGCGGAACGTTTCTGTTTGATATATCAAAGCTGATGCTCATTTCTTGGAAATTCCCGCCAAATGGCAAATACGGTATTTTCACAGTTTTTCATGCACATATTGCATACACATACACTTTGTAGTAGTCTGTTCATGATGTTTGGAATGCAGCCATTTGGCACTCGCAACCTAGCCAACTAGACTAGAGTACAGTAGACTACAGTACATGCACTGCACATTTAGCCAGTTACAAACTCTCAATGCGAGCTTATTCCCAAGGGCCGACCACATGATCATTTTTACTTGTATATAGTTTTAATACTGCAACTTATAATACAATGTGTATCTTTACAAAATTTGGCAGACCTTTAGTAAACATTACAAGTCGCTTGCACACAAAATCGATTTTTAATGAAGTATTTTTACTAAAGATTTGTCCGTGAACATATCAAGTCTTTTTTTTTACCAGTCTGAGTGCAAAATGATTTTCAAAAATCTCAAATTTCATTTGCATAATCTATAAAACATCCTAAATACATTTCATAAGTTTGTTTTTTAGTAAAAACTTTATATTTTATCGTTAACATAAATATACAAAGTTGATCAATTTAATCTACCTGCCCCCCCCCCAAATCAAAGTTGTCCTTTTTTATTTCTAGAATGACTTCAACTTGTAACATGAAACTACATTTGTTCATCCTAAGTAGCTTTAAACTTGTAACAGTATACATCTATTTAGTCGTAAATTTTATTGTTTTATTGCTCTTTGAACATGTCTAACTTCTAGTACTATTTGCATTATTATAATATAAGTTGTAAATCACCTGGGGAACATGTGGCTCACATTACACTATCTAATTACATTACCCACTAGCTACTCCAAGCTGCTCATGTACGTGACTCATGAAAATCTTATTATTATTATTTATTTTACCTTTTTACCCAGTTTAATCTTAACTGATCTAAAAGTTTCCTATTTTTACGTTTTAGTTATTTTTATAATAATAAATAAAGAATACACATGGAAAAACAAGAAATAAAGTACTTACATGAGTCTTTGTTTTTATTTGTTGTCAACAGTCGATGACACTTAACCCTACTTTTTTATACGAATGGTACTAGTGCAATAACCAGTTTTCTATTTAATTAAACAATGCACCAAAGTACACAGAATAATAACATGCAAAAAACAGACAATGTCCCATAACTATCAATTTTTCTGGCTTTCTAACTATGTGGTACGAGCTGTTTCAAATTCATCCAAGCTAGTGGATGTGTTTCCCATGGGAATGAAGCTTGTACTGAAAGAGGAATTAACATTTTCCAGTACAGAAAATAACATAATATAATACGTCATTTGATAGATGAAAACATTGGCTTTCTATTGGTTAAAAATAATATAGTATTAAACATAAGAGAGAACTATTGACGATTCCTGAAAGAGAGGATACAACAGATGGGTGTAGCAAGAGGGTTCTGATTTTCTATTTGATGGCTTTGTAACCAAACAGAATTGAAGGCTATGAAAATTATGCTTTATCTGAGTTATGACAATTTCATAACAAGTAATTTACATTAAATTTCTTACTTCTTGGAGAGGTGATAAATAAATCTAAAAAAAGCATGGGGGATGGGATCCATGTTGGGATGACAACCTCAAAATAAAGGAAATTGAAAAGAAATAGACAATACAAACCATGGGTATGTTTACTACTAAAATAAAACCCATAAAGTAAAGTAAGGGTGAAAATAACAAAAAACAACATCAACCACAACAATTGCAAATGACTTCCTAATATGAAATCATGGGTGTTGCAGAAATTTAAGTCTGGATATACTACTAACTGGTTGTGCATTAAATCCAAAATTATTATTTGGATTTCAGCATCGTTCTTGGCAGAAAAGCAACTTCAGATCTTTAATCATTCCCACGTTTGTGCTCAATGTTAAATCTTTTTATTGTGGCATTCTTATTTTAGATAAATTAGGGTTGGCATGTCTGCTCATGTAAGTTTAATTCTTTTGTTGTGTGCATTTATTCTTGGCCTAAGGATCCTGATTGCTATTTCTTCACAAGTTAGTATATTGCTCTTCTGAGTACAGAAGCTTTTAAGGGTGTATTTTTTGTTTGTTTTTTCATTGTTGTTTCTGTGTTGTTCTTGGCTAGTGTCTAAATGTCTTTTTTCATAGATGAGCATTATATTCATGTGTTTTTAGAAGATTTTGTTGCATAGATAACTCCTCGCTGAAGTGTGTAAGTCTTTTTTCTGTATTAGAGTTTATTGCTCAGTGTTTAGAAGATTTTGTTGAATATATTATGTTTAGTTAAAGTCTTTTTCTCTACGATTTAGCTTATTGCTTTGTTACCTTAGAAATGTTTGTTGTTGAGATTATTCTTGGCTAAAGTGTAGTGTTTTTTACCCCTATGGGTAAGTGTACTGGTCAGTGACCTTAGAAGTGTCATTATTTATACTTTTATGAACTAAAGTGTTCAGATATCTCTTCTTCTTCTGTAGGTGAGCAAAATGGCTACAACATACCAGAAGTTGTTCCCTTCCCTGACCTTCGATGGTGGTTGTCTGAAGAAGGAATGGAGTTCTTAATGTCCAACAAAGATGATAAATGTCTCCCAGAAATTGCTCGACGCTTGTTATGTGATGCTTACATGTGTATGTACCAGAGTCCCGATGTCATGATGTATCGATAATAATGTTTTTGTTGTTTCTTTTCCTTTTGTCTACTGGGAAAGCACAAGTTATTGTTGTTTTGAACTGATAAGTTCATCAGTTCTTTTCCTTCCATGCATATGATGGTTTCAACTAACAGGAAGTTATTCATGCAGGTCTTATTTATGTTGTTTGTAGAATGAAAAAAAAAAAAACACATTCCTGAAACCCCTCTGAAACTGAGTTGTTTTCTATAGTTGTAGTAAGTTTTAGAGGTATTACCTTATCTGCTATTGTTAATAACTATAGATGCTACAGTTGTATTTTTAATTAAAATATTTTCACCACAAGTTTAATTAGTTATTATATGGAGTATTTTAGAGATGTATATATCTTTGCAGGATAATATATAGTGTAAAGAAAGTATTTATTGCTGTCCCTGTAAATTAGCCATATTCAGAGTTAAATGTAAATTACCTTTCTGAGATAGAATTATATGCTTAAAGTTCTGCATGCTCTGCTAACTGACAAAAAAATCACATGTTCTTTAAAAGCCATCATATAAATTTTTATTTGAGATCCTACTCCTTAAGTTACTGTTTGCAATATACCAGACTACAAACTATGATATTTTTGGGTATACTAAAACATTAATAATATATGAACATTATTAGGCACCATATATAAATACTTATATAATGTACACCATCCATTAGATTTTATAAGTTCTTGCTGGGCACATTTGAGGCCAAGAGGAAATCCAGCAAAACCAAACAATGAAATATGTACATAAATGGTTTTCAAGCAATTCATATAAATTCTTGATATTTCAGTTAATATTTTTAAGTTTTAAAGAGAGCTCATTGAGAGTAATCTTCACTCACATATGTTCAATGGGTTTTGTTTTTCTGTGTTTTAATTTTTTTCGGTGCTATTATTGCCAAGTCTTGTTTGTACCAGTACATTAATTTTATGGTGCCACCAAAAGGAAGAAGGTCATTTTGTTAAAAAAAAGAACACTTTGTTAATATGTTATTACTCATTTGTTGCATAAATATATATATCGGATAAATTTGAATCAGTAGTCGTGAGCTCGTCTTTTTTTTTTTGGCATGTCAAAAGACAAGTAATTTTTCTACTTTTTACAATACATCATTTGCCAGTAAGATAGTTCTCTGTGAAGACTGATATTTTCAGAAAAGGAACTCTCAAAGTAATGAAAACCAAAATTAGCTTGTTCTGTTTAAGGTAAGCAAACCTTGATTCAGTACTCAATAGTGACTTAAATTGTGCAAAAACAGCCTTGTTACAATTTTAAGCCATAAGAATGTGTTGTCATCTAATGCTGAATACCACATATACATTACTTTATTTGAGAAATTGTTCTAAATACACATGAAACAGCCCTTCCAAAAATTTCTTTCCACTTTTTTGTTATTGTTTTATTGTAATTATTTAGGTCCTGATTAATTTGATGTTTTCTTCATTTTCATTACTTTGGAAAACAATGAAACTTCTTGAAAGAACATTATATAATCTGCAGATAAAAGAAGTCTTCAAGTGGAAAGTTTAATGATTATATATGTAACATTGTTTGTCATCTGTTTTAAATAATGGTGAAATCTCTGACAAAATGGTAATGATAATTGTTTGAAAGAAGTAATAGTAAAGAGTAAAGGTAAACAACAACATCACATTATTAAATATTTCCCCAAAATTTATTCATTGTTTTTAACTACAGAATTGATAAAATACATTCTTGTTCCTTGATGGTTTGATTTATATATTATGCGCATGAACTTCAGTTATGTACATAACACATATGTATTTCAACATCTACACAATGGGATGGTTAGGGTACTTGACTCATAATTTGCAGGTTGCAGGATCAAAACCTGTCATCGAACATGCATACTCTTTCACCTGTAGAGGTGTTACAATGTAATGATCAATCCCACTATTTATTGGTAAAAGAGTACCCCAAAAGTTGGTGGTATTGACTAGTTACCAGTTTCTTTTAATCTGTCACTTCAGAGTTGGGGATGGCTAGCACAGATAGCTCTTGAGTAGCCTTGCATGAAATTCAAATAAAAAACAAACACATCTATACAATATAATGAATAAATATATATATATATATATATTAAAAGTTGTGAATTGTTTTTGTTTAAAAGTATCAACTTCAGTTAATAACTTTGTAGGTGAATTATTTAATAGAAACTACCAACAACTTCATTGAATTCTACATTTATGTAAATTTTGGCTAGTTCTTCACATACTTTTAGTTTATAAAAATATTAAAGAGATTTATTTTAACCAACATTAGGAATATAGTTTTAATATATTAAATACACAGTGAGGAAAAATTGATTTTGTCTTAAACATAAATTTCAAAATAGCATTTCACACATAACTAGGCATGTGCTTTCAAATGGAATAAAACAAGAGAACTTAAGTTTTTTAATTAAAACACTGGTTAGACTGAGACTGATTTTGAATCTGTGACTGTTGTGTTTCACTATTGCC